TAAGGATTTAAAATTATTCCATCAAAAGGAAGAGACACTAGCTAACTCCATAATCTCCATATATTTTTTTCATTTTGTATCAGACCCATTTTTTATGATTTTTCAGAAAAAAATAGTAAGCCTCTAGGCTTCCTGCTCTTTAAGTGTGCTGACTGTTGTATACTTGGTCCTTCTAAAGTACTCTCCCCCTACCTATGAACAGATTTCCTGAAAATTTCACAAAAATTTTTAAATAATCTCAAACATTATTCTTCAGATGAATAGAGCAGGAAAATATAGTTCGGCCCTTTGGATTCCATGGAAGATTTCATTCTTTGTCAAACCCATGCCCCTTCCAAAATTTCCCATTTGCCTTATGCGGGAGGTCTCTCCCTGATGCCCCTGGGTCATGCTCCCTCCCCACTGTCCCACACCCTGGCAGTGCTCCTGATATCCAGGCCCCTGGCAAATGCCAGATGTTACATCCTAGAGATGCTGTTGGATGGACTCAGCAGTGGAGAGAGGGTGGCTGCCCTGCTCCCTCTCCCGTGGGTCCCATGAGACAAACCAGCCTGCTGCAAGAGGGGAAAGGAACTGATTCTGCTGTATGGGGTCCAAATATTTGAAGTATTTTGTCCAGAAACCCTCAGTTGCTGAGCAAGCAGTTATGTGAAAGAGCTTACGGGCTGATTTTTTTCCAACTGCTTTTAGTAGATGGCAATTGGCATGCAAATAAAAACAAGGATAGAATTTATGCTAGCTGAAACATTAGGAACAAGTTATATTATTAAAAGTAAGGTTTGAGCTCCATTAGCTCATTAAATTAAATTACAGCATTTGCTTTGCAGTGTCAGAAGTATTATTGAATTTCTGGAAGAGTTGTTTTTGATTGATTGCTGTATGTGCTGTTTGGAGACTGTGTACTTTAGGTGTGTATGCAATTTTACAGCCATGACAACACATTTTATAATTTAATTTTACATGCAAATTGCAGCTATATAGTGTCATAAGATATTCTCTTTTCTTCTTATAGCATCTCTAGACATGTATCCAATGCAGACAGAGTGATTATTTGGCTTACCAGACTTCAAACCATTAGACCACCAAAGAGCTGTGAATTAAGCACAGTGCAAGCAATGGCAGCATTCGGGCTCACCTATCAAACCAGAAGGGGAATTGTGCAGCCTCTCAAATACCAAACTTTGGGGCTGATTCATTCAGTGGGTCTGTGACCTGACAAGGCAGTATGATTAATTGCACACATATTCCCTCAGAGGTTTTCCTGCTCATGCTTTCTGCAGCAAAGATTGTTAGCTTGACAGATCAGCGTAGCAGCCTCTTAAGATGCCAGAAAGGGAAGCGGTTGGTTTCTGATTGAAAGTTAATGGAGGAACAGCAGCTGTTCCATGCTGAGGGGCAAAAAAAATCCAAACCAAACAGGCTTTGATTCTCAGAGAAAGCCACACATGGGAATAAGCTGATTTTTCGATAACCCTGTCTATGGGATTTCTGTCAGGGATTGAAAGACCATATTTGCATGATATAATAGGTGTCATAATTAGAAATTCAGCTGTGTTGTCTCTCATCTGATTATTGAAATATAAGCCATGGCAGGAGTGGCTTTCTTTTCTGATTAAACACTGGTTTAGGTGTCTCCTCTTCCACGTGTTTGCTCTTGATACTTTGGCCATTTAGACTAAAGTTTGCAGAAGCCCTGATTTGACAGGCAGCTCCTGTATTTGCAGTGCTGAGCAAAGATGCTTGCACAGCACTTCCCTTCTGCTCCCAGGCAATCCACACTGTTGCTCTGTCAGATCATACCCACTGCCAATTTTAAATAGTTTTCATTTTTCAATTAAGCCTTATTAGACACTTCTTCAAGAATACTGAAGCTCTACCACTTTATCTATTGAAAGGTTTTAAGCATTAACCAATGTTTCCCCTTCCACATTTCCCAGCTGGACTCTGACGGGATAACACACGTTTGACGGATGTTTCGTGTTGTGTGTGAAATGAGCTGAGCTGTGTGGCAGCCCTCTGTAGACATACCTGCTCCTGTGGGCATGGCACCACAGCCGACCCAGTGAGGAGCGTTCCCAAGAAGCAAACTGCAGACAGGGAAACCCCACACGGCAGCACCAGGGCTGGGTGGGCACAGCAGGCTGTGCCACGGCAGCAGACGCATGGAGAGCTCTGCACTCTCACACCTCGCAGATGTCTTTGTTCTGTTTTAGGACAAATCCCTCAAAACACACTTGGAAGTGCGAGTCTGAAAACTGAGACTTGTGCTACCTCCCCAATGCACCTCCCAACCTGCATCCTGCAGTGCCTACTGAGTTGAAAACAGTCCTTCAAATTCAGCAGTCTGTGCTGGACCCTGTCAAAGGGCGACGTTTATAGCAGAGATTATGGGTAAGGACCTAAAATGCCCCTGGATTCTCCCATGATATCCCTCATCTGCTCCGAGTTTGAATTAAGCTGTTCATTCAACACCTGTATTTTCTAACTTTGTGAAATCTTATCTGTTCCTGGCAACACAGAAACACATAAACAGGAAAAAAGGCGACAAAAATGCTTCTATTACTACAACTTTTAAAATGAGGGTAAGAAACTAACAGAGAGAGATACTGTATAAACAAATTGATTTAATTGCACTACATGAAAGAGAAGGCAGGTCTTACTGAAGTGGAGCAGTAGACAGCATGCCGGAACAAAATTCCTCAAAGCAATGGCATATAAATATTGAATAAAATATAAAAGCCAACTCTGCAGATGGCTTTGGGAAAAGCAGCCACTCTGGCTGCAAATATGTTTCAGAGAACCCTACAAAACCTGGAAATCTGCAAAGCCAAGGAGGAAATCAGTGAATAATCTGCTAGAGGGAAATCCCCAGCTTCCACAATCAAGTACAGGGATTACAAAGACATTTCTAAGTCAATGAGAGATGGGATGAGACAGAAGACTAAATGTTAGGATTTTGTGTTTTCCCCTTAGAATCAGGTACTGCCATGCCAGGCATAGACCTACTGCTGGTCTTTGGGTACCAATTTTGATATTTAACTTGGGGTGTTAATCTCTCAGCAAAATATCATCTCTGTAGCCATTACTTTCTTCCAGAGGCCTTTGCAAAACGCATTTCCAACAGATTCAAATATATGATTGCCAATCAAGTGAGCTGCACCCATTCAATTTTCTTCTTGCCTTTTGCTCAGAGAACCAGCTGTAGGATTCACTCACAAAAGCTTCTGAAGCAAAGAAAGAGAGGATTTTGTTAATCTGGATTTGTGAGCCCCGAGCTACTGGTTTAAAATTTCATTATGAATCTGTGTCACTGTGTATTTCCTTCTCCCTTGGGAAAACAAAGGACAAATGTATGTAGAAAATCAGGCTTATTCCTCTTAACTGTAAGAAGCTAGCAAAGAGAAATAAATTAAGATAATTCGGCATCACCTTACCCAGATAACCAAACCACCCTATGCCTTCAGCTTTATGTGATTTGCAGAGAGAGAGTAAGTAATATATATTAAAAAATAGCAACCAAACCCCCAAATCAGACACACAGTGCAGTGTTTCTGTGGGTTCCTGAGGCAAGAGAATCACAGTGGATGCAAACAAGGCCACAGCAGTGAGACACACAAGTGAAACAAAATTCAGTGTCCTTTGCAGGACAGCTCTTTCAGAAGCTTGCAGGCTTTCTTCTGAGAGGCTGAGAGCTCACAGCCTCCCTGCACCCAGTATATCCAGCACTGTTCTTTTCAGTAGGCTGAGACAGAAGGTACCAGTGCGAGCTGGACACCAGGCACCTTCAAAATGGTGATGTTTAACACAAAGCATTGGAAATTTTTCTTACAAGAGATATTTTTCATCTACAGGACTGGAGGTCCTTGAACATGTGCAACTGATGCCAAGTGGATCTTTCATACAGAGTAAGGTGCCAAGAAGCATCAATTTCCTACCCCTACAAACATATCTCCTTAACTTGCTTTGAAGGAACAGCTATCCCAGTGTGGACTGGGACCAGAGGACACTCCAAAAGTCACATAGCAAGTGAGAAGAGAGGCAGCAAATGACCTCCAGTCACTCTGCTGCCCTTGCCCTGCATCAGCCTTATCACTGGGCACCACAGTGTCTACAAGAGGTCTTACGGAAATCAATTCTAAAACATACAATACAATTAATCTGAAAAGGACCCTGGGCAATAGAAACAGGTTTGTCATCATGCCTTGTGCCAACTAAGCTTTCAGGCTTTCAAATCTAGCCCTTTTGTCATCCTCAGGAAATATTTCTCCTATGTGTTAAAATCACAATGAACTCCAAGGTATTTACACATAATACTAAGAATACCAGAGATTAGTACAATGCACGGTATGTTTAGAATTGCAGAATTGTTAATGTAGATTAAAGTGCTTTGCCAGTAATCACTCACTTTCCTGACCTAGCCACATGGTTTTTCCATTTTGCTGCACTCCAGTGCTGCCAAGCTGCACAGCTGGTCCTGGGGGGGCCAGCCCTGCGGGGGCAATGACAAGTGCCATGAAACTGCTCTGGCCCCAGCCCCTGACTGTGGCACACAAAAATGTGCTCTGGGAGGCTGCCAGAAATATGGAGCTCTCCGTGCTGAGCAAGGGGGCTAGAGCTGGTACTCCTATCACACACAGCGAGGAGCTGGGGCAAGCAGAGAAAGCAGACCCAGCAAACTGCCTGTGTTTTCTGGAGCATCCCCTCGGAGGTGGCCTTCATGGAGCTGGCGTGACTGGGATGGGCAGTTCAGCAGCAAACACCCACAGCCCTACAAGGAGCTGATGTCCTTCTCTGGCGGTGTGAGTCACACCAGTGGCACACAGGCTCTCCTCAGCAAGCACTCAGGCACTCCATTACTTGGGCAAGATGCTGGTAAAACATACTCCTCTAAAACCACTACCGTAAAATCCCTGCTCCTTACAGCCTGGAGCATTCATGAAGAGGGCATCTGAGAGGGGACAAGAAAAACTGAAGGGATGGAATACCACTGAGGCAATAAGTTAGAGTCAGTATTTAATAATCTTTTCCAATAACTGTTTTTTAGAAGTATTTCTGAGAGATTTCTACATTTCATCACAGTGAATGGGTGGCGATGAAAGATTTTGTCTAGACAGAAGGTAAAGTTTGAACTTTAAAATTAAGTTCTACACAGTGAGAAAAAAAACCTAGCCAGCACAATGTTACATTTGCCTTAAATCTTAAAAAAGAAAAAAGAAAAAAAAAAGAAAAAAAGAAAAAACCTCCAAAAGTTAAAACCCCCAAAACAATAAAATTTTATTATTTTGGAAATATGTTCTATCTAAAGTAAATATTTTAAATATTTAGTATTAAACATGAGCAAATATCACTTTATGGAGATGAAAGTAACATCATCAGGGAGTTTCATAAACTGTCTCAATTTCTGGGTAGCTGCTCTTCAGCACTAACAGAACACAGCATATTTGGTGCAGTGTAGATTTTTTTTTTTTTTGGTAGAATATACTTATTTAGTGCCATAGCAGAGAAGCAATTAGCAGGCATTTCATGGGGCAGTCATCCCAAGAACAGTCCTGAGACAAGAGCTACTCCACCACAGATCAGACCCTGGAAGGAGATGCAGCTGGGTGCCCCACAGACCTGCAGGTGTGTCAGGTTGCCCTGCCTGAGACCTTCTTGCAGGTTTTTCTATTCCACAGGCAGCCTTGCCACTCACAAATGCTTCTTCTTTTTTATTGCCTCTGCCCTGATAGCCAAGCTCTTGGCACAGATGGTCAGGACCACGATGAGGACTCCAACCAGGAAAGTCACCACGGGCCAGAGGAAGCAGTGCAAGAGAACAGTCTCATCATGGGTGCGCTTCAGCATCACATCATCCGGCCTGTGAAAGGAGGAACAGAATATGGAAAAAATATAAATCAACATAATATCATCAATTCATAAGTGGAAGTCATCTAACATGGTAAGAGTAAAGGTGATTTATTTGCCAAAGTGCTAGAAGATGATTAAGTGGACTATTTCATTCAATGCTTCCATTTGCCTTCTTATCACCAGCACTCATGGCAGATGATGAGCTTTCCACTTGCAGTGTTTACAGGCTAACAAGTTCATTTGGATTAAAAAAGAAAAAAAAAAAAAAAAGGAAAGAAAAAACAGTGTTAGTGCTCTAGATCTTCCAGGGAATGTGGTCATCACAAACAGCCTGTAAGATACAGTATCATACTGACTGTGGCTTGCAAAACCACTCTGGTAAAAACATAATACCAAGCAGCATTTATACATATTTACTTCAAATGTTATCAGGTCCTGTGAAATAGATTTAAACAGTAATTAAAGCTTCACTTTTAGCTTTGAGCACTGATGTGTCCATGGGGCTACATGGAGGCTCCTGATGAAGCCAGGCCTGGCTGTGGTTTGGGTCTGGGCAGGGAGCTGGTCCCTGTCCTCAGCTCTGGACTGCTGGTGCCCAGGCCAGCCCAGCTGCAGTGGCAGGCAGCAGCCTGCAAGGAATCTGTCCCACGAGGACTACAGCCTGCCCTGGCGTGGCTAAGGCTCCCAGGTCAGCTCCTTCCCAGCAGAATCTGTTTCAGCTGTGATTTGGGGCTGCTGACAGCAGTGCCTCAGTAGACTTGAGTAGACTCCTACAGGGACAATTTGGTGAGACTCCCATGAAGGTCTGAACCTCCTTGCCTCCACCAGCAGCATCTAATACAGAGTCATGGTGGGGTCTGTGACAGGTTTATACATTTCCAAAGGGAAATGGAGAGAGGAGGAGAACTGAGGTGGAAGCATCTTGAGACATTTGTAAATTTAGCTGTGGCACAAGTCTGAAAGATCTGCTGTCTATCTGCCTCATCCAAGTCTGGGATGTTGTTGGGGAAATGTGATGGCAGGTTTTCCTTGGCTCTGGCTCTTTCTGCCCTCCCTTGCAGTTTAATAGTTATTAAATCAGTGTCGTGGCATTTGCACTTCACTCTTGCTTTCCCATCTACAGCCAGAGACACTCAGTCTGCTGGAAAACTATCTGCAGAGGAGAGAAAGAGAACTTTCTCCAACTAGAAAAATATCTATAGTTTTGACTCCTGTTGGTCCTCACTCCCATCGCATGTCGCTTTGCCAATGCCCCCTGACACTTCTTGGAGCACAAACCTCACAGCCTAAAATCCTGGAGAAGCAGGCTAATCCAGCAACATCCTGGAAATCAAGGTCTCCTAACATGGTGGCACATGGGAGCAGAGACCTGTTCAATGGCTGTGCTGTCTCTCCCATTATAGCTTTGTTCTGATCAGAAAGGAGCCCTAAGAAAGAATTCTGTCAGGGAAAAAGAAGGAACTCTTTTTGCTACACTGAGAAATTGAATGGTTTGCAAGATTGCAGAGTTTTATCCATCCTTCAGGAGTTATTTGAGCCAGACTGCCAGCTACACCTGATGCTAGATTTAATTACACCTGCATTTGCATTTGGGGGTCTCTCACCCAAAATTGCTGTGCAGTGAATACTGTGCACCATGCCAGCCTGAAAGTCCCCAAGGCCAACTCCATACATCTGTCTTTGTTTCTGTAGTAAGGAGCAGAATAAAACTCTAATTGTGAGCAGCTCAGCTATATAGAATTTGAAATTCAGCAGCACAAAAAGATATCAAAAGAATCCCAGGTGTATTCAGTAGTGAAATGTATGAATTCTGTGCAACCAAAAATCTCAAGATACATAAGCAGGCACAGGTGGAGACTATAAATTGAATAAAGCAGTATTAACTTCATGGGTGCAAACTCACCAGCCTGTGCACCTGAAGAGAGAAATCCTTTCACAAGAGGTATAAGCCTGCTCCCTCACAGTTACTGTATCATCACCTGTGAACTAGAGTGCTACTTGACAAGGAGGCCATAAGTAGGCAACACTCGATCTTCACAGCTCTGAACTTACTAGTGACATTGAATTTTAAGTATTTTTTTTTAAGCAGATGTTAGTTCAAAAATAAGGGACAAGCAAAAATGTAGAAAATTTGATTCAATTAGAGGAAAGAAAGCATGATTGGGGAAAGTAAGATAACCTTTAGACTGAATCTTAAATGTTTTGAAAAACATAGATACCAAAGGTAGCAGCAATGGATGTCAAACACTCATTATAATGTGACTGTGACTTAGTAATTTGAAAGAGTTTCCCTTTTGGCAAAGAGTCAAAGACAAAGCCTTCAAGTAAGTTTTGAGCTGAGGTTTGGGTTTAGATGGGTATTACTGCTACTTTTAAGTACAGTAAGAGTCCCTGTGCACTGGAGTGGCCTCACCATGATTCCTGTGTGCAGTTTTGGGTGCCACAATATAAGAAAGATGTTAAGTTGTTGGAGAGAATCCAAAAGAGGGACATGAGGATGGTGAAGAGATTTGAGGGGAAGTCATCTAAGTAGTGGCTGAGGTCACCTTGTTCAGTGTGGAGATTAAGGGGAGACCTCATTGCAGTCACATCCTCACAAGGGGAAGAGCAGGGGCAGACATTTATCTCTTCTCTGTGGTGCCCAGTGACAGAACCCAAGGGAATGACATGAAGCTTTGTCAGAGGAGGTTCAGGTTGGATATTAGAAAAATGTTCTTCATCCACAGGGTGGTTGGGCACTGGAACAGGCTCTCCAGAGAAGTAGTCACAGCACCAAGCCTGTCTGAGATCAAGAAACATTTGGACAGTGCTCTCAGGCACCCAGTGTGACTCTTGGGAGCGGTGCTGTGCAGGGTCCTTAGCTGGATTCGTGGTACTGGTGAGTGGCTTCCAATTCAGAGTATTCTGTGATTCTGTGGCACTTGAAACACAGTAATGTAACTGCTTTAGGTTTGCTTGGCAAAGCTAGCAGTTTTGACTTTTCATGCTACTTTTTTAAAGGCAACCTGCCTGCTCCCACAGTCTGGAGGCTTGTTGTTTTACTTGGAAACAGAAATGGAAAGGTGTTCTGTCCCCAAGAGAAGACTTCTCATGGTAAAGACCTGTCTTTCCTGCAAACCCTAAGAGTGTCACTCCCTGGTGCTGAGGCAGTGATGTTGAACTCAAAGGAAGTACATCCTAGAAATACCTAGAAATACGTTTCTTTTCCCTATGAAAATCAGCCAATACAAATGAATTTTTTGGTTTGCTCCTGTAAGTACAGTGTCTTTAATAACCCATCTTTGCTCTGTGACTTTATATAGTACTTCAGTTCAAATATGTTGGCAGAGGGGTTGGGCATCTTCACACTAAGCTTGATTACTGGCAGTCTCTTCTTTCTACCAATGCTGCCAGTCAGGTTGCCAGTATATGTAAAGCCTCTTGAGGGGATGCACCCAAAATCTTAACACCAGTTATCCATGCACAAAACAGTAGCAGAGGCAAGAAAGAGACCTGTGGGACAAAAGGGGGAAACCCTGCAGTGACTGCAAGCCATGCTCAGGCATTCAGAGCTGGTTCTTGCTGTGAACAGTGATGGCCACTGTGCAGCACTACCACTGCCCAGCAGCAGGCCCACAGTGAAACAACAAACAAACTGAAAAAAAAAAATCCCTGAAGAAGCCTTTGCCTTAACCCTGAAAACACAGCTTTCTCTTTCATTGAGCAGACAAGGAGGAAAGAATTTTGTTTTCATTGCTAAAAGGTGAGACCAGGACTTATTTTTAGCAGGACTTTTAGCTCAGGGCTAGACATTTGTGGAGCTTTGAGCAGGGCTAACTGGATTAGTTGCATTATACAACACAGTCCTGTTAGGTTCTGCCAGGTAGCTCAGACACCAGATAAAACAGGCCTCCATCAGAGCCTTCAGAGCAATTACTGAACATCATGGCGAGAATTGCAGTGCAGGGATTATCAAAATGTCACGTAGGACCAAAAGGTTACAGGCACATAAACATCTCCGTCATCACTTATGAACAAAAATGTGAACCTAACGCCGCACAACAATAGCTGACAGAGGTGGAGGCACAGCTACAAAGGCTTTTGTATTCAAACAATCTGGATTTAAAGATGTTTGCAATACACTAATTTGTTCCCACAGATATTCACATCCCTTCACTCTGACAAGCATTCTTTTTTTCCCTTATTGTTGCAAGATGCAGAGATCCTCAGCTGGACAGCTGCATGCAGAGGCAGCACAGTGTCTCACTGGCCGTCAAGTCCTTTCCCCCTCAGGCCCAAGCACTGCTCCAGAGGTGGAGGGAATTAATTTAGAAAACTGTGAAGTAACAGAGCAAACCAAGATTTATGTTCCAACATTTTATGGATGAGCAGCCTTACTACCTGAGCACCCTTGGCTTACGCACATAATTATTCTGACATTAGTGGGAACCCTGCAGGGCATCCCAAAAACATACAGGTTGTCACTGATCACTTGACAGGGTTTGGTCTTCAAATCTCTGATAAGTTTGTGTACAGCATCCTGCAGCAAACACAGAGGAGGTTAAAGCATGGCTGGCTCGTCTGCTGTGCCACAGCAAAGGAAACACAGAGTGTTCTTGTGCATGGAACAAACCCAGAGTTAACAAGCAACAATGCCATATAAATCAGCCACTAATAAGAAATGACTTGACACAAGGTGCTCTGTCTGTCTCTGCATGGCATGAAAGAGTGAGGTCTCAGCTCATGGCAATCTTAGTTTCTCTCTTTTTTTGTTCTTGTCATGGATGTCAATGACACATGGATGTCAATGAAGAAGTAAATTGTCAGGATCTTCCCCATCCTTCCCTCAGGCCTCCCACTTTAGGGCATGCAGCTGTGGCCCTTGTTTGCATGAGGTCATGACTGCAGACTGCTGGGACACTGGTGGGAGATCCAGAACACCAAAGCCCTAGAGCTCAGTGCCTTCTCAAACCTTTGGCTACAGCCTGAGAACTTCATCTGAATTTGTCCTTTATTTTAGAGTCTGAAACACTGAAAGTTGGTTTCTGCTGTGCTGGGCTTCCTTCAGACTGGGATATCATCATGCCAACAGACAGGCATCTTCACCAGAGATCCAGAAAAGCAACTTCCCTATGCATCTTGAATCCTGTGTCCCAAAGCTTGTCAGAGAAGAGTGCCACACTAAAGTTAAGTGCCTACAGAGGCAAAGCAATACCTTGCTCTTCAGTAAAGTCTGAGCTCTAAGATAAGCTGTACTTTGGTTCCTTAAGAGAAATGTCAGGCAGCTAATTTTGCTGGGAAGTTTGATTTACAGTAACTGAGAATGGTTGAAATTGCCAAGTCTGCTTCTCATCCCTTTTGTATAACTTTGAACTGTAAGAATGGCATCCCTTTTTTAATCTTTTCAAAATAACCTATTGAACCCACCAAACTGAAAGGAAGATGTTCCTAACAGTACACTCTGCATGCAGCAATAGTTCTGACAATGAAGATTGAGTAAATTCGATGAAGAGGAGATGATATTCATTCATTGCCTGTATATTTACCTAGATGCTGTTTCAAAAGAGGGAGTATTATTATTACAAATACTAAATTCTCTAAAGAATTATTTGTTATACATTTTATACAGACTGACAGAGAACAGTTAGTTTATTCACACAGTGAAAAAAATACTGTCAGGAAACATGCACACTTCTATTTTGAAGGGAACAGATTTCTCCCTCAGTTTGTTATGGTTTCTTTTTACTGCTTTGCAGGCTGCTTAGTCATCATTGCTCTAAAAGTATACTCAAGCAAGCACATTCCCAGTCAGCAGAACTTATCTCCCAAAGCTCTCGGCTATCTCCAGAAGAAAATAGATGGTGTACACATTTCAGCTTAGGCTATCTTCTAGTATCTCTGGCAGCGAGCCTCTCTTATCCTGTGTATGAATTGTTGTATGATCAGCAAAAGGCAGTGTTTTAAGGCAGCCATTGTGCTGGCAAGAACTTTTAGCAGTATAGGATTCAGCATCTTTAGGGGAAAAAACCCTTCCTGAATGCTGCACAATTTCTCATTGCCAGCTTACATAAATGTCAGATGCTAGGCAGCATGCAGCCTTTGCAGAAAAGGTTTGTCTTTGCTCCACCAAAATGTAATTGAGAATCTGCTCCCATAGCTCTGGACACCTACACTCCTCTACAGGAGAGAAATAAACAACTCTGGGCATCTGACCTGTATCAGGCATTTACTCTGGGGTAGGATAAAAGGCCCGTTTCTCTCCACTGACTAAAAAAGTTACCTTTCACATCATCCTTTCCACACTAGTTTTAGATGTATCCTAGCCCTGACTTCTCCTGCAGACAAACCCGTGTTTCTGACTCTCCTGCTCACTTGGGCAGTGCATCCTGCAAGTCCCAGTTCTCAGGAGTACAAGGGACAGGCAACACCTGCCTGCCCAGAAAAACCAGAATCATAACTTGACTCCTGGTTACCAGATCCAAGCTTTGGTACCTTGTGGACCAGAGGACTCCCAAGAAAGTCCCAGACAGGTCTGATGTCATCACTCAGAGTGCCCTAAGTTTTAACCCCTGCATGCTGTAAGCAATGTTTCTTCACTCTCTAAAGGAAAAAAAATTTGCTACAAAGTTTTGGTGGTGTCCCTCTGCAAAGAGTTAACCAGGGACAACAAACTCATCCTGGGCATGCTGGCTGGGTCTACAGTCTCTTCAGGGAGAAAACTATTATAGGCAGCCTAGGACAAACCTGAAGGTCCCAAGGCACTCAGCAGGACACCCACAGTAGACTCAGGCATTTCTCTACCTGCCATCCATTCTCCTCCTGATTGTCTTCTTGAACTTAAGTATCTGGTGCCAATGCTCCCACACTGAGCCCTGAATTGCACCTGCAAGTCATGAGCTATTCCCTCATCTATTTAACTTTCAAGTGTTTGTGGGATAGGACTAACCTCCTCCTGCAGCCACATTACGTTTTATTTCCTGGCATATCACCATCAGAAAGAGCCAGGAAAAAGGACTCCCTCCCCTTTCTGTTTACCGAAGGAAGGAAACCACACATCACTCTCATGTGCATGGCAGTCACATCAACCCTGGCAGTAAAAGTAAGAACTGAAGGTTACAACTTTCTACTCTGCAAGCATGTAGGAAACCTGGCAGTTCTGTTGCTGTTTATTACACACATCTGATCCACAAATCTTCTATGAACACAATTACTGAGTTAGTTTGTCCTATTTGTTCTCCTCTTTTCTTCCGTGAACACAGTAGAGTTTATTTTCTGTGGAGGAAAGGAATGCTAATGTCCACACCAGAAATCTGCTGTCTGAGTGGTAAAAGCCAAGATGCTTTTTGCTATAAAAATTGCACGCTTTAAGGAAAACTTTTCTCAGAGTTTTATATTTTTACTTCAAGTGGTAAAAATACTCCTTTCCTTTCTGTACAGCTTTTCATCAATAGAGTTGTCTTGCAAAGTTCTGCACTGAGCTCTGCGTGATAAACCACATTGCCCTGGAGGGGGTCTCTGTGTGTATATACATGTGCATGCATTTATATGTATTTTCAAGCAGAACCAATGGACAGCTGTTAAACAGATGCATGAGCACTCCTGCCTAGCCAAATGGACATTACTCACCTCAAGTGCTGGTTAAAATAGCACGTAAATGGTTGAGAACCCACTTTCTCTTTCCAGTATTTCTGCTTGTACGTGACGTTCTCAGAGTTCTCCTGATCATCTCTTGCACAGGGAGGGATGTATGAGCACTGCCAAGACACATTGCAAAACAAAGTTACTGCTGTGCTCAAGAACACAGGGCATCACTTGTCCGTGTTTTCCTCATGATACCAGCGTGACTGAAATGGATTGAGAATAATAAAAAACGAATCTCCAAAGAAACAGAAAAGAAATTTCATTTTAATTGCTAATTATTCTGTGCAGGTACTGGAAAATAATATAATAGCATTCAGAAAGAAAATAAAGGCTTTGGCACGTTTGTTCCACTCTTAAACCAAACCACATCATAGCATCTTGTGGTTTGGCATGATGAATGTGAAAATGATCATTTCATTTTGATATATTACTAGCCAGCTGCATGGATTGGATCTGAATAACTTCCTATTTTCAGTGAGGCACGTAATCACAAGTTTTGTTAAGTATCATGCTAATAAATAATCCAAAGAGTCCAGCAAGCTTTCCCAGGTGATGGGATATGTGGCTGATGTTCACTGATACAAGAAGGTATTCTTCCACTGTCTGCATCTGCTTCTGCTGTACAGAAGTCAAGGAGAGTTGAGCATGCAGCTGAGCTACCTGCAGATCTCACCTTCAGACATCTGCTTCAAAGTCCAGAGATCAAGGGAATTTCTTCCCCTCTTTGGATCACACACACACACACACAGCTTGTTTCAAAGTCTTTGACACACCACATTTAAGTCGTAGCCACAGGCAGCTGAACAACATAAAACAAACAGTGCACTGAATCAAGTGTCAGCACTATCAAAGTTCGGTGTCCAAGCACAATCCCTCTCCTTTTTACCAGGTATCCATACTGGAGATCGTGACAGGAGCTGTTGAACCACACTGAGTAACTCAGCTTAGCAGATCCTCCCATAACACAGAGGCCTTTCACCCTGCAGGACGTACAGACACCAAGAGCATGCATTGAATTTTAATTCCTTTAAAATTGGGAGCTGCAAATAGAAAAAAAGTGTGACTGGGAAAGCAGCTAAAGAGCCTCCTACTTAGGAAGGATAGGGGAGCAGGAGGTGAAGGGTGTGGGAAGCCCCTAAAGGGAGCCCACATATGATCACAACATTAATTTCTCCACAGTGTCCTGAAGGCAGTAACAGCAAGGACAGTGATACCCTCTCTGACATGAGAGTAAAGATCACCATGGCTCACTGTGCCTAGTGAGCGCTTCCTCTCCTTCTGCTGAGGTGTCACAGGGACTTACCTTGTCCCCAGCTGCACACTATACCTAAGATGTACAGACCTACAAGACCATGTTTACCATACAACAGCTTGAAGATTTGCCATTCCAAGGGCAAGGGAGAAATCTCAGGATTTTATTCCCCATATCATGTAAAATCTGAGCACTTCAGTCAGCACCTGCAATTGCTGCCAGTGTTTTGCATGCTTCAGAATGAAAGAACCAGCAAGGTCTTCCTTGCTGCTTCCAAACTGAAACCTACCTTTTCCACATGCAAGGATCTCCATTTTCACATGGATTCCTGGCTGGTGTTGCCATGGTACAGAGCTCACTTTAGTTCCCTGTTCACAGGACCCTAAAGAAGGGTTGTTGTAGTGCGACATTGTCCCACTGCTGGTGATGGGCGGCAGAAATTAATGGCAACACCACTCTAATTCAGAAACCAGAATGCAGGATTTGTCACATATTGTTATTGCCACCTTTGATAATCCTTGGTCAACAGAATTTTTGGTTTGGTTGTCCACTTTGGAAGCATCAAACACCCCCTGTTTTCCTCCACAGTCCTGGTGCATAAACACATTTGTGCAGCAGCTGGGCAGAGTCAGCAAATTTGGCAGGAAGACACCTGAGAGCGCTCCTGGCTCTGCTCTGACCCCTGACAGCACCAACGTGCTGCACCTTCCCAGCTGGTCCCCTCGTCCCTGCTTGGCCTGGGATCCAGCCCTTCCAATATCCTCCACTCTGATGTTTTCCTTTATGGGACATTTACTGCTTTGGACATGGCACCACATCCCACGAGCTGTGCACTCACTGCCTACATCTGACAGTAATCACCATGCTGCTCTTCCCAAGCCCCCAGCTTGTAGGTAGCCACCAACTTTTAGGGGCTCTAGAAATAGGTCTCAAACCAGCCACTATTTAGCCAGCACTCAAAATGAAAAACTAGACAAACCAGCTAAGTACCGATAGACATTACTTTGCCTAAACACACCCAGCTATCTCAAAACTCCTATTCTGTGTTCCTGGCTCCAGTACACATATTTCCTCTATGCTCTGAAATGTTTCCTCTTCCTGGCTGAGCGTGACGCTGTCCTCCGCTATGAAAGTGCAAGCGCCCCACCAGTCCTGGTTAAACTTTCTCTGGATCCTTCAGAGACCTTCCACCCCCAAAAAATATTACTTGAATCCTTCACAAAGTTCATAACCTGGTGAATTGTTGGTTAGCCCCATCCTGAGTTTCAGGCTTAGAAACAACCAGAGAGGTCTCTTTTCCCAAGAGATGTCTGTCTGAACAGGCAAGTATCAAGTTTTAGCAGTCTCCCAGGACATTTCATCACAGAGCACTTCACATTTTTTCCCATCAGTCCCCATGCTGTTAGCTCAACATGAAGATATTAAAAATTGAGTATTTTAGGACAGGGATTTTCTTGGTTTGGAAGATGTAAAGGGGACCACAGACAGTTTCTCTGGGCAGCACTTCTGTATTTTCCCGTGCCAAAGCATGAGCGCATGGGACTATTGCTGGTACCTACAGGAGGAACCCCTAGAAGTTGGGCACAACAGCAAATGCTTTCCATAGCTCAAACTTCACACCATTCTCTGCACACCTATTCCCTGCTGACAGAAAGCATGCTGGATACATTTCTACCTCTTCCTCTTTTTCTTAATGTGCAAAACACAAAGGAGACACCTGGGGTTTTGCCATAAATTAATGTGGTCTCACTGCTTCTGCTTATTGAGGATTAACAGTCTTGAAGAGAGGAATGGTCCCTGTCCAAATATGAATCCCAAAGGCCCCCCTGAAACATCAACTCCATGTGACAAAGGCCTTGAGCCACAGAAAACACCCAAGATGCAATCCCAGTGTGAACATTATAAGCTGCTGCACAAACACTGGAGCTTGTTTGTCAGCCCAGGGTGCCCAGCCCAGCATAGTCCACACCAACCCAAGGTGCTTTTTGTCCCTTTCGGACCCACGTAGGGGGTGGATCTCTCTTTACTCAGCCTCCCAAGCATCTTTCTAGGGCACTCTGCTTGAACAGCTCTATCCCCTCCAAAACAGATTCAGCAGGCACATAAAAGGGAATCATATCCTCACAAACTTTGCTGCTGTGAGTTGATGGAAGAATGTGAAATAATTCCACTTTGGCAGTAGGCAGTTTCTGAAACATTAAATCTGTAGTCCTCCCTTACAAGACATGGCATGAAATACTGGCATCAAAACATAAACAAATACCAACTGAAAGCAAGCTAGGACACCAGTAAAAACGTCGCTTAATAGCCAATACATCTTTACACCAAGGTTTTGTAGGATTTGTATCTGTGTGTGCTGCTGGATGCTCCCACTTCAGTGTCCCTGCAGATGCCTGGAAAGATTCCTGGTGCTTCTGAACACTTCATGAGGGCAGATATTCTTCCATATCACAGAGAAAGAATAGGTACATGAACTCATGACTATGGTTTAAGTTCCAGGTTGAATTTAATGCTTTTCAAAGATCAATTCTTGCCTAATTCAGTCATGTTTTAATAAAAAGACAGACTTGATAGACATCAAGTCCAAGAAAGTTTCAAATGTGAAGAGACATCCCGGCCCAAAATAGAAGCAATTCAGCCCAACAGAAGACAGACCAAAGTAATTCCAGAGCAAGATTTCAAACTCACTTTCCAAGTGCCAGTCCTTCTGGCTCCTGGTGAGCTATGGGACAGAGACACCATCTGTTTGGTGGGGTGTTACGGTGAGCTCCTGGACACCCTTTTGTCCCCCCTTTCCTAGGGCCTCTGTGGCTCTGATCATGATAAGCCCTGAATCCTCCCTCCTGCCCCAATGGGGTTGGTGGGGAGCCAGGAGTGCCCACCCTGTCCAAAACCTATATAGACCCCTGAAACTTCCTGCTCTTTCTCTTTTGCCCTGCTCTCCATGGACACCACAGAATAAAGAGAGCTGTTCCAACACCCTGGGTAAGGAGCCTCTTTTGAATACTTTTCCCTCTCATGCTATTTCCTCCCCTCACAGCCCCATATCTCTGAGCTAGTCGGATTCATTCGGGGGGCTTCGTGGAGGGGGGGGAAACCATAGAAATAACAGTGGGGCAAGCCCTACAACACCTGCTGGAGTAGAGATCCACCTGCAGCCCATGGTGGACCCCACACCACACAAAGGGATGCCCAAAGGAGGTTGTCACTTTGGGGGAAGCCCACACGGGAGCAGGGTCCTGGCAGGACCTGTGATCCTGTGGAGAGATGAGCCCATGCTGGAGCAGGTTTTCTGGCAGGACTTGTGACCCTGTGGGGAAACCATGCTGGAGCACTTCATAAAGAGCTACTGCATGTGGGAAGGACCCGCACTGGAGAAGGTAATGGAGGACTGTCTCCCGTGGGAGAGACCTCACACTAGAGCAGGGAAAAAGTGTGAAGAGGAAGGAGTGCAAATGTGTGATGAACTGACCACAGCCCACATTCCCTGTCCCTCTGTGCTGGTGGGAAGGAGAAGGTAAAGAAAATTAGGAGTGAAGTTAACTCAGGAAGAAAAAATGGGTAGGGGAAAGGCATTTTTAGATTTTATTTTATTTATGCAGTACCCTCCTCTGATTTATTTGGCAATAAAGCAGATTAATTTCCCTGAGTCAAGTTCATTTTTCCCATGATGGTAAAGGGTAAGTGATCTCTTCCTGTCCTTATCTCAACCCACAAGCTTTTCATTAATTTTCTCTCCCCTATCTACCTGAGGAGTGATACAGCAGCTTGGGTGGGGACCTGAAATCCAGCCAGGGTCAACCCACCTCACCAAGCAATAGATGAGCTTCTCCTAACTTTGTGTGTGTCTCCATGCACTACTTTCTTCTTCTTCTGTCTTACCAGTCACTCCCTAAAAGTTTCTTTGGCAGAACAGGGGGCAACTTCTTCCAACCCTACACTTAACTGCAGATGTAGAAAGGGAAATGTCTAAAAAGCCAGAAAACAGATGTTTTTAGCAGCTGACATACTCCCTTGCCATTTTCCCAGGCAGAGCTGTGGCCTGGTCCCTGCGCTGGCTGTGTGCACCACCAACGTGCCCAATGGCCAGGGAGTAATAGCAACAAATTGACTTTGGAATTAATCCTGCTTAAGCCTTATCTCAGAGATTATTATTGCTATCAAGGCAGCTGAAGAAAGGCTACAGTCACTCCAATAAATTTCTTCCTCTGAGACAGCAATCAAAAAAAAGAAATCCACAGATCACTCAGACTGAACACAAATGTAATCATGTTCGGTGCTTTATATACACATTCCTGGATTATCTCTGACCCAGCTATATAATCTTCTAAGAGCTAAAATGAATCCTGGGCTGTACATAATATATATATATATATATATATATATATATATATATATATATATGTATGTATGTATGTCTTTCTAAGATAATGTGATTATCTTAGAAAGCAAGAGAAGAAAAAAAATTCTTTTTCCTGCATCTAGAAAAATATTTTTCCTCACTGGAACAGACATTCATATCTGTGATATGCTTATGTGTCAGCCTGCTCTACTACAGAACGTAGAAGATTTTTAATCAAATACACTTGGGATTTTTGGGTGGAGTGAAGCTGCCAGCTGATTTGTTATTGTTGTGTGCTGTAAGGAGCCTGAACTATGCCTTTTCTACACTATTGATTTACAGGGAAAAATTGTTATCCTACAAAGAGAAGCACTTAAGCAGAAAGTAAAATTTTAAAAAATGTTCAAAACAAAATTGGTATTTTTTTCCCCTTCTAGCTAGTTGGAAGTGATTAACATGTTGTATGTATGTCTAAGTGCATGAACACAAGGACGCATAGTGCAAAAATGTGATGGGAACAGGAAGGGTCAAACAGCTCTCCAAGTGTTTGTTCATAAATATATACAGGATCCCGACCATTAAATCCAGCAGATTCTTACTCTGTGCTCTAACTAATGTACCTCAACATAAAATCCTGAAAGCTTTCAAAGACAGCGAGACTTTAAATCAAAAATTAAAGGAGGGTATAACTTTGTCTCCACAGACATTGAACTAGGGGAAAAAAGGGAAAACCAAATAAACAGATCCAGACTTCAGTCCCTTACAAAGGTATGTTTTCCTGACGAGACCCAACTGACTTTTCTTCTTATTTTGTATTTGTTTTACATAAGCTTCTTAAAGTAGGGACAATAATTAGAGCACATTTTTTCTACACAATTTTCCACTGAGATAAATTCAATTACTACCAAAGAACTACAGTTACATTAAAAAAAAAAAAAAAAGCATCCTTTCTGCTTTGTCTCATCTGGTAAATCAGATTTAATCCTCAGCAATCAATATCCCAGGGTAAACAGCCCACACCTAGAAGCACAAGGTGGAAGGTAAAGAAAACAGATTATATTTGTAAAAGCAGGAAAGTACCATACTGCCAACAGCCCTGTTTTCTTATTAAGAGTTAACATGAAATTAATTGTTAAATAAAAATAGTTTTCTGAGTGACATTTACAGGCATTACTTCTCAAGCTCGGAGTGCCTCCCTGCAATTGCAATTCAACCCCCGGGCAGGTGCAATCCTTCTCTTCCCACCACACTTCCAGAAAGGCAGAAGAAAATAAGATCAAGAAGTAAAAATCAAACAAAACACTTGGACTACTCAGAAAGGTATTGCAGTCACGGTCCAATTTGAAAGCTGCTGCTGAACCTGCGGATGCTGCCAGAGCTGCTGAGCCCAGGTATTCTGGTGGCAATCAGCACTCATCTCCCATCTCCCACTTTCCATCTCCCAGCTCCTTGCTGGAGATGACCACAACAGAGCCATAGGGCCATGCTCAGGGAGAGCCATGCTGCCCCCTCTGCAGAGCCACGTCATCTTTACCCCATATCAAAAGGGTGACTTTTCTCCTGCATTTTACCAACTCCCCCCTGCCCACCTGAAAATGGAGAGATGTTTAGAGAAGTCCTGCAGCTCGGACAGCTAGGGCACTTCAAGCACAACCTCTGCCACCACACCCCTCTGCACAGGGAGCCTGGCAGCAGCACTCCCAGGAAAAGATTTGCAAATCTCCCTCACAGGCCACCATTTCATCTGCTTTCTAATCAGGCTCCATCCAGCACTGCAGCTTCAATCACTCATCATTTCTGAGCAGTGCTAACAATTTAATCCAAATCCTGTCAGATTTACCATCCTGCTACTTATTACCCCAACCACCCTTCCAAGCTGCCAAGGGGGAGAAAAAGCAACCCTCAAACCCTGAGTGTGAAACTTAATCTGCCTTCCAAGTGATGGAGCACACCAGTGCAAGTATGACTGAGGGGCTGTGAGGCTGCACATCCCAGCTGGACACCAAAGCATGCTTCCCAGCCCTGCAAACACACCCCTGCATCGTGCTGAGCATGGCCCTTAGCACTATGTTGCATCCACATCTCTGTCAAAGAGCTGAAATTTCCTTGCCACTACACTCCTAATTTCAAGTTCTTTCAGAAGCAGGAGGATTCCGACATCTTCTTCAAACTACTTAATAATATCTCCTCCACTCATGTGCGTGCTGTCAAAGCCACCTTTACCCAGCATAAAAAGAAAAAGGAGAAGGCAGAATAACTGCCTTTAAGGAAAGAGAAAGTACAAATCGCACATTGCCTTCAGACTTCCCCAGTTTGCTGGAAGATGCAACTTTCACAAATTCTTCGTTTGGTCCTTGGAGGAGTTTAAGAATCAAAACAGCACGGGGGAAACTTTAGTTTTGGTGTAGCCCCTTCCCCAGCTCCCCGCCAGCAGCGGCTCCGTCAGCATTTCTCCGTTCGCTCCGGGGAGCGGCACTGCGAAGTCCCGCACCCTCCGGGACGCGCACCGCAGCGGCACCGGGCGCTGCCCGAGCACACTGACCTCCCCGCCGGCAGCGGGAGCTTCTCCTCCTCTCCCCACCGGCGTCCCGGGGCTCCGGCGGGGAACGGCAAAGGAGCCTCCGCGCCGTCCCTGCGCTGCCGCCCGGGGCTGCGCTCCGGACGCGGGTGGGACGGACGGAATAGGGCTGGCCGCGAAGGGTGAGAGTATGTGAGAGACAGCGTGTGTGTGCGTGTACCATACTTAGTAGATAGTACAGTGTAATACACTATATACTACAGTATACATTACATACAGTATGTTATACTATGCTATATAGAATCACAAAATATCCCGAATTGGAAGGCACCCACTGGGATCATCCAGATCATCTCCTGGCCCTGCACAGGACAGCCTCAAGAGTCACACCATGTGCTTGAGAGCGAACGCTTCTTGAACTCTGTCAGCTTTGGTGCTGTGACTACTTCCCTGGGGGAGCCTGCTCCGGTGCCCAGCCATCCTGTGGGTGAAGAGCCTTTTCCAAGTATCGAGCCTAAGCCTTCCCTGAGATTATAGATGTACGTAGACACTGTAGAGATATACTACTTTTTCCTGAGCAACAAGCAGAGCGGCATTTCGGACGGCTACTCCCCCACTTCACTTACCACCCCCCACCTCCCAAAAGAGAAATTCCCGCACCGAACAGAGGGCGAGTGGCAGGAGCGGTGAAAGGGCACCGACAGCCGCGACGGGACCACCGCCCGCATTTTGGGAGAGAAGGGCGTCCGCGGGTCTCACCTTGGGGTTGGTGCGCAGCTGCCGCTCGTCCTCATGGAGCAGGGCGGGTGCGGAGGAGCGGGAGGTGCGGACCAGCACCTGGAGGCAGGGGTAGCGGGCGGTGCCGCGGCAGGCGGCCCCGCAGGAGAAGGTGCAGGCGAAGCGCTCCCCCAGCTGCCGCACCGCCAGCACCGTGCAGTTGGCGGAGCCGCCGCCGCCCCGCTCCTGCAGCGCCGGGCGAAGCCAGCAACAACCCAAACCCAAGAGGGAAAGCAAGCCGGCGGCGATGAGGAGGAAACCCAGCCGCATGCTCTTGTCCTCCGCCTCCGTGTACTCGTAAGCCGCCCGGCTCCTCGCCATCGCCCGGCTGCCGCTGGCATCCGCCGCCGGGCATCAGCCACTGCCATCGGCTAAAGCTACCGCCGCTCCCCGCCTCCATCCCCGCCTCCTCCGAGGCTGACTGTGCGTGTAACCAGCACGGAAAAAAAAAAAAAAAAAAGATAAATTAAAAAAAATGCAAATTTAATCCCGTCTGACCTAATTCAGGGCCCTCCGGGGGTGGAAAGGGACAGCTTGCAACCCGATTATCTGACTGGAGATTTGCTGTGCGGAGGGCTAGTCTGGATTAATACTGGGTACCATCATGCAATGTACAACATCTAGAAGAGGGTGGGTGGGGTCCTTTGGGTGCATTGTGGCCCCTCCTAAGGCAACATCTCACCACTGACTTCGGAAAGTCCTGGAGATCTTGTGTAAAGTCCCATTCAGTACCCCCAAGGCATCACAGTCTGCAAGGTCTCTACGAGTAGAGGAGGAAACGGATATGAAATGAAAGAAATCAAGCATCTACAAGTGAGAAGTCAGCTTCTATTTTTACCTTATTAATTAAGAAGGGCATAATGGGAATTGGCCAAATGTTAGCATTTTGGGGGTTCAAAGTAAAGTGTTCTGGCCAGCCCCAAAACCAGCATCTGCACAGCAGGGACAGAGATAACAAGACAAGCAAGATGATAGCTATCACACACAGGAATTGCTTTGAACAGGAAGGTATTGACCTCTGAAGGTTCACCCTAAGAAACGCTGTCTTCCAAGCAGGTTTGCAAGAAAAGCTGCTGATTCAAGAATGTATTTATTTGGCAAATAAAATTTGGTTATTAGCCAGCATTTCCCACTGTGGCAACACAAATTCTTTGGTGCCAAAGTACCAGACACAATACTTATAGTTCTATTCTGTAGTCTTTATCACAGGCAATTAGTATAACAAAATGAGCCTCAGAGCTGATAGCTGAACTTGATGGCACTGTAGACAAGAAGGCACAGAAATACAGAAAAAGTTTGGGAAATAGCACTTTCCTTTTTCAATCTCTTTCCCACTGCAGACTGCAACGTCAAACTTTTATAAATGAAGCTGATCCGTAGGTTCTCCAAATGGACTATTAAGCAAGGTTTGGCAGGAAGGCTATTAAGTCCACACTGTGCCATGAATATAGATGGATGTAAATATTGTCCTTGCTTGCACAAGTGCACTACCACACCCCCCTCAAGCCAGCTGCTTTGCAGTAGCCTGCCCTGATTATCAAAGGGTTTCTGAAAAAGTATACCAGCCCTGAGCCGGAATTATGGGTTTTTTTACTTAAACCTCCTATAGGTGTTTATACTAGAAACTCAACTCCTCTTGCCTAGTCCTTGGCTCTGTTCATTCATTCCCAACAGGTTTTGCTGCCAGCACTTGTAGTGACAGCAGTCTCTAATGGTAGAGGCTTGTTGCATAGAGTTTTCATAATATTAAAAAAAAAAAAAAATTATAATCAGGTTGATCAGTCATTTACCACCTAAAAGGGAAGCTCCAGCTCTGCTTTCTCAGTTTAAATGAGCTGCAGCTTCTGTCTGTCTTACCTCCTGAACAGCTGGCCTTCCATATTTGGTTCAACTCCCTGCAATCCCTTGTACATAAAGTGCTGTCAGATGGAAATTAAGGCAACAGCTCACTGGGTGACAGAGCAACCTTGAGTTAGTCCTCCTGTGTGCATCCAAGCCCTACATCCTCCACAGCTGGGGAGATGCTGAAGCTGTACTTTAACTAGAAACGGCCTAAGCATTCACCAGGTGATCTCATAGATTCTGAACTTCTGCACAAATGACTCAGTCAAGACTTAAAGTCTATTTGGATCAATTTGAAGTGACAAATGATCATCAATGCCTGATCATTGTAGCAGAGTAAAGGGGGCCTGTTGTAAAGATTTTAGCTCTGCTGTCACCTGTTGAGGGCAGGAGTGGGGATGCTGGCTCCAGGACCATGGGCTGCACCAGGAGCCACCAGGGCTGAGAAAGCTGGCATACAAAGTCCAACGTCTGTATGAAAATCTCAACAGCAGAAGAACAGATTGCTGCCTGCTCTTTTGGGCCCTTCCTTGCCCCACAACCAAGGGACAGCCTTACCTGTGGCCAATTGCAGCTGACCCACCCGGTATGGCCAGTGCCGAGAACACCTCGGTCAGGCAACTGGAGGCTGGGCAGCCACAGTGCAGCTCTGCCACCACACCCACTCAGCCTGCTCACTGGGCCTGGGCTCACACCTCCGTTTCCTTGCACAAGCCTCGTGCTGGTGCGTGGGATGCTGACTGCCCCTCTTCCAGGAAATGAACTGCCTTTTCCAAAAGCAAATATCTAAACAAAACAACTGAGTGCCTTTATAAAACCAATGCTGTGATGCCCACCAGAAAGTACATTGGCCTTCCAAGGGAAGAGAGATCTCTGAAACAATCAAACCCACCCTTTACTCAAGAACAAGTTTAGAGAACACCGAAGGGTTTCCACAGAGGTTCATCAATGTCTGCACCAGAGAGCTTTGGGACACCTGCCTTCCTTTCGCTCCTCATCAGGACTGTTTACAGCTGATGCAGGACGGCCCAATCGTAACAACTGGCTACTTCATTGGATTGTTTGCTAAACCAGAGGAAGTTCAAAAGGTGTTTTACAGAAAATTATTTTGGTAGTTTCAGCAGGAAAAACCTGACATATATTAACTCATTAGTACCAAGAAGACAATATGAAATACAAATGAGAAATTGAAGCCTAGAAAAACAATACACAAACTCAGTTCAACACGGCTAATCCAGAAGTGAGCTGAATCAGTAACAGTCAAAAATATAGTTCAAAGTGCTTTAACATTACTTTCAAAAATATAAAGTTGACCTCTAACAGTAAAGTGGCTTTAAGTGCTAAAGCCACTGAAACTATTAAACCCAAAATTTCAAAGTAGATTATCCAGCTGCATTTCCTCAGGTCTTTTTACATACTGGAAACTTTCAGATTTATGGAAACAAGAGCATGCATACTTACCACAGAAAAATAAAAACTTAATTCACATACTATATATAAAAATAAAACCATCAGCTGTCAATCCAGACTAACTGCTAAATCCAATCTGCATTACCAGAATTCAACTTCTACTAGCTTCGGGCAGTGAAAAGGTACTTGAAAACTGATTACACATGCTGAAATTTGGCTTGAATAGCAACTGTTATATTTAGGGTCTTAAACCAAAAGCACTGTCTAGCTATCCCATGGTTAGAATGGCAGCTGTGCATTTAGAGGCTTTTCTTGAGTCTGACAGCAACCACTTTTTCCTTTCTGTTTCATTCAATGTCCAGCCATGGAAGTATTTTCAATTGGAAATTACCAGAAATTGGGGAGGGAGGGAGGGGGGGGAGAGGGAAGATTCTTAGAGGTGACTAGTAACTTTAAACAGCATTATTTAGAAGATGGACAGCCTTCTGCCATAGCCATGGCCACCTAGGAGCCACTCAGGACCAAGATGATGGCCCCTCAGACCTCCATTTCCCAGCCCTGCCTAGGTCATGCCAAAGACTGTTTCTGGTCTCTTCATGGTCAACAGGAAGTCCCTCAAGACTGTAAAAATCTTGCATCTGAATACAATACACAAATTCTTATTTGGTTCCATTCTCCTTATTTTTTCATGGAAACTGTAAAACAGAAACAGACAAGTACAAGAAATACTGGCTTGGGGTCAGAGAGGATTTCAGAGATGCCATGCAGCCAGTGATACAATCATACATCTTTGTACTGTAGAAATGCTATGCAGCCATGATGGAGTGGTGTGGTCAGTTTTGTGAACCCCGACACAGATGCAGCTGACACTTCATCGAAGGTCACAGTCACATGAGAAATATTTTTACCCATGTGAGTATCTGCAGGCTTCCCTGGATTAGTTGGGTCTTCAATTAGATTAATCAAGCCCATGAAGGTTCTCATGTGCGCATTTGCAGCACCACACCACTAAGGTGGAGGAGACTGAGTATGGGGTGGTTTTTTGTTTGCTCATTTTAAAGACCCCAGTGGAATATCCTTAACCCTTTCCTTCATGACACTCTGGTACCCTTGGTTTTCCCACAGGCAGGGCAGTTTAAGTAACAATTGCTGAAATAAGAAGTGTCTTTTGCAATACCAGATGTGATCAAATCAGTGAAACTTATGTTAAACCCTGGAAGTTGTAGGTAGTAGATCTGTAGAGAAAGTGGAGCTAACTATTCAATAAAGATTTGTAAACAATATGCCACAAGGACTATGAGACATATTGGACAGGTAAGAAACAGGAATACTTCCACTTCTTTCCAAGAAGACTGGGTTTTCTACTCAGAACTTACCTTGCACACTCTTGTACAAAACTAGTTATGGGGAAAAACACCCACCTCAAATTTAAAAACAGCATTCCATTATATCCCTATTTATAGCGTTAGTGGAATGTAAATACATATTAAATAAGCCTCAGACCTTAATTGTCAGTCTGAAAATCTGCAGGGCAATTCAGACCCATTTGCTACATGAGTATGCAAATGAGGGCTGAGGTTTTCTTCCTTTCAGTAAAAAAAAGCAGTATGTTCTTTTTTTCAATTTTTAAAATTCATATGGTATCAGTTAAGAAGTGGTTTCAATCTTACACCTTGTTTTCTGTTTATATCTATTGCTCTTGCCTCAACCCACAGTGTAAAATGAAATTAAGTCACAGATTTTAAAGTCTCCATACACGCTTATTTTTCGATAATCGATAACTGATAATCGAGAGCCAGACTGTTCTTCCACCTGGAAGGAGCAAAGCACCAGTTCTGTGCTCACTGGTGAGATGTTTTCCAAAATCAGGCATTTCACATTTTTGAAAGACTGGACAGTTGAATACAACCGTATCATCATGTATTTTTTGGGAGAACTTAAGTTCCCAATTTCAGTTCAATTGTTTTTAAAGTGACATATGCATTTAGTATTTTAATGTAATTGATCTTGCTCCCTTTACCATATGTTGTTAATTTCCATGAACATTAAAAATAATTGCATTTGATTTGAAGAAGGAAATATCACTTTTGGAATCCTTACCAAAAAAAAAACCCCAAAACACCCAGGTCATAATGAACCTCTGATAGTAAAAAATGTAACATTAATGGTGGAAGGAACAATATGCTTT